AAATATCATCACCCTGAGCATTTTGGTTATTCAGAAGAAGTTGTTTAAAGGTTTTTTAATACAATTGACCCCTGTGACCTTGAATATAATTGAAGGTCATTCATTTGAACAAACTTGGTAGCCCTTCACCCAAGCATGCTACTGGCCAAATATCATCTCCCTGGGCATTTTGGTTATTGAGAAGAAGATGTTTAAAGTTTTTGACATATTTGACCCCTGTGACCTTGAAAATAGGTGAAGGTCATTTATTTGAACAAACTTTGTAGCCCTTCATCCAAGTTTGCTTCTGGCCAAATATTGACACCCTAGGCCTTTTGGTTATTAAGAAGAAGTCGTTTAAAGTAAAATATTGACGCCGGACGCCGGACGGACGGACGCCGGACGGACGGACGACGGACGCCGCGCCACGGCATAAGCTCACTTGGCACTTCGTGCCAGGTGAGCTAAAAATGAAAAATAATTGTGAAATTAAATATTGTGGTTCCCCTAGAGAATAGTTCTCTTGTGATAGGTAGCAGATGATTATTCTTGGCAGTAGAATGTGCTGATGTCTCAGACAGATTTTTAAGGCCTGCATATCGTTAAGCTAACCAGGCTTTGACCAGATTGGCCACTTGAAATATTTCCTATGGTAGTTTGTAATCAGTGGTTAGATTGGTCAAATCAGCAAAAGTTATATTTTTCACTAATTAAAAATATCGCTTTTATAGAATGAATAATTTTCAATATTTCACTGGTAAAATTGTAATAAAATACAGTCTAACATATCTTTTGTATGATATAATTAAATTATAATGTACAACATACAAGTAACAGTTAAAAAATAATAATTTATTATCAAAACATTTTTTAATATATATGCACTCAAACATATAATTATCACTTAATGAACTATAATTTACCACTATAAAAATATCATATATAATCATCATTTAAATTATCTTGAAATTCAATAACATTGCTGTAATCAAGCATTGTACTGGGATACATACCACAACTTTCATCACACAAAGGGTCAGATTAAGGTTCTCCGACTTTTCACAAACTTTCAAAACATTGAGGCTCAAATTAAAGGGTCCACTATCGTGATGAGGACAGGATTGTACAGATGTCACCTGACAAATTACACATTATCCACACTACAAATTGTTCTGAAAGAGAACTAACTTGGGCTATCACTTCATAACTTGACCAACAATGGAAAACATTCCTTATATTTACAGATGTTATTAATAAATATACCGGTAATACGGAAATCCCATCCTTGTATTTTCAACATATGTATGAAAAAATGGACAAACAATATAAACTCGGTAACTTTGCCCAGAGAGATTTAGTTACAAAAATTGACTGTTTCATCTACATCTATAATAAGCATATTAGTTCCGAGTACAAAAAAGTATTGATACCACAGGTGTATGTAGGCTTCAACAGGACTTTGAAATAACACACCCTGTCCTCATCAAGATGGTAGACAGTGGCCTGACTTTAACCTGAGGAGTAACACATCCTGTCCTCATCAAGATAGTGGACAGTTGCCTGACTTTAACCTGGGGAGCAACCCATCCTGTCCTCATCAAGATAGTGGACAGTGGCAGTGGACAGTTGCCTGACTTTAACCTGGGGAGCAACCCATCCTGTCCTCATCAAGATAGTGGACAGTGGCTTGGCTTTAACCTGGGGAGTAACCCATCCTGTCCTCATCAAGATGGTAGACAGTGGCCTGACATTAACCTGAGGAGTAACACATCCTGTCCTCATCAAGATAGTGGACAGTTGCCTGACTTTAACCTGGGGCGTAACCCATCCTGTCCTCATCAAGATAGTGGACAGGGGCCTGACTTTAACCTGGGGAGTAACCCATCATGTCCTCATCAAGATGGTGGACAGTGGCCTGACTTTAACCTAGGGAGTAACCCATTCTGTACTCATCAAGATGGTGGACAGTGGCCTGACTTTAACCTAGGGAGTAACCCATCCTGTCCTCATCAAGATGGTAGACAGTGGCCTGACTTTAACCTGAGGAGTAACACATCCTGTCCTCATCAAGATAGTGGACAGTGGCTTGGCTTTAACCTGGGGAGTAACCCATCCTGTCCTCATCAAGATGGTAGACAGTGGCCTGACTTTAGCCTGAGGAGTAACACATCCTGTCCTCATCAAGATAGTGGACAGTGGCAGTGGACAGTTGCCTGACTTTAACCTGGGGAGCAACCCATCCTGTCCTCATCAAGATAGTGGACAGTGGCTTGGCTTTAACCTGGGGAGTAACCCATCCTGTCCTCATCAAGATGGTAGACAGTGGCCTGACTTTAGCCTGAGGAGTAACACATCCTGTCCTCATCAAGATAGTGGACAGTGGCTTGACTTTAACCTGGGGAGTACCCCATCCTGTCCTCATCAAGATAGTGGACAGGGGCCTGACTTTAACCTGGGGAGTAACCCATCATGTCCTCATCAAGATGGTGGACAGTGGCCTGACTTTAACCTAGGGAGTAACCCATCCTGTCCTCATCAAGATAGTCGACAGTTGCCTGACTTTAACCTGGGGAGTAACCCATCCAGTCCTCATCAAGATAGTGGACAGTGGCCTGACTTTAACCTGGGGAGTAACACATCCTGTCCTCCTCAAGATAGTGGACAGTTGCCTGACTTTAACCTGGGGAGTAACCCATCCTGTCCTCCTCAAGATAGTGGACAGTGTCCTGACTTTAACCTGGGGGGTAACCCATCCTGTCCTCCTCAAGATAGTGGACAGTGTCCTGACTTTAACCTGTGGAGTAACACATCCTGTCCTCATCAAGCTAGTGGACAGCGGCCTGACTTTAACCTGAGAATTAACACATCCTGTCCTCCTCAAGATAGTGGACAGTGTCCTGACTTTAACCTGAGGAGTAACACATCATGTCCTCATCAAGATAGTGGACAGTGGCCTGACTTTAACCTGGGGAGTAATATACAATTGTTAGATGATAGTTTTGACTGTTCCCAAAATAACCATGAAACAATTGTTTTATTACCAAATAAATATTAGTATCAATGCTGCATGCAATGTTGCCATTGCTTCAACACTGAGTCGCGGTCACCGAAACGCTTGAACGGGGTTCTCAAGGGGGGGATTTCTGCGCATCCAATTTGCGCCGGGTAAGAGTTCGCTCTGACCGGGAAAACAGTTTTGACTGTTTCACCTCTTCAGCGGAAATTGGACAAAAGGCCAGAAACAGTCAAAAATGACCAATTATAATTTATATAGACTATTGGGTAATAACACGTCCTGTCCTCATCAAGATAGTGGACAGTTGCCTGACTTTAACCTGAGGAGTAACACATCCTGTCCTCATCAAGATATTCACCTGAGATAAGAGTACACCAAATCATTGTCACTTTTTTATACTTTCAAGCAAACTTTTATAATGGTTCAAAAACTGTGTTTCCTCTTGAAGCGTTAAATCCAGGTAGTCATCTTCATCTTTGGCAATGTCTGACACAAGATCGTCAAGGACTTCTTTCTGTTTCTGCTTGTCAGCTGATTATAAATAAAGAAAAATAGTCAAGAAATGTAGGAAATACACTTTATGATGTCACACTATCCTTCGAAATCAGTTCAAAGCACTAGTAAACAGGGTAATGACGAGGAGTGCTAAAGTGCTAAAAATCCATGTTGACAGCAAATACATGCAAAGAAGTAATTCAAAGAAAAAGTTGACATGGATTGACACCCCACCATGCATAAGATCAGACATGCATGGACACCACATCATACATAAGATCAGAAATGTATGGACACCACACCATACTTAAAATCAGACATAGATGGACACCACACCATGCATAAGATGAAACAAATATGTATAACATACCATACATAAGATCAGACATGGATGGACACCACACCATGCATAAGATCAGACATGGATGGACAACACAGCATGCATAAGATCAGACAGGTATAAACAACACACCATACATAAGATCTGACATGGATGGACAATACAACATACATAAGATCAGACATGTATGGACAACACACCTTGCATAAGATCAGACATGGATGGACAATACAACATAACACACCATGCATAAGATCAGACATAGATGGACAACACACCATGCATAAGATCAGACATAGATGGACAACACAACATGCATAAGATCAGACATGGATTGAAAACACACCATACATAAGATCAGATATGTATAAACAACACACCATACATAAGATCAAACATGGATGGACAATACAACATACATCAGATCAGACATGGATGGACAATACAACAGACATAAGATCAGACATGGATGGACAATACACCATACATAAGATCAGACATGTATAAACAACACACCATACATAAGATCTGACATGGATGGACAATACAACATACATCAGATCAGACATGGATGGACAATACACCATACATAAGATCAGACATAGATGGACAACACAACATGCATAAGATCAGACATGGATTGACAACACACCATGCATAAGATCAGACATGGATTGAAAACACACCATACATAAGATCAGACGTGGATTGACAACACACCATACATAAGATCAGACAGAAATGTATGGACACCACACCATACTTAAAATCAGACATAGATGGACACCACCCCATGCATAAGATCAGACATGGATTGACTACACACCATACATCAGATAAGACATGGATGGACAACACAGCATACATAAGATCAGACATGGATTGAAAACACACCATACATAAGATCAGACAGAAATGTATGGACACCACACCATACTTAAAATCAGACATAGATGGACACCACTCCATGCATAAGATGAAACAAATATGTATGACATACCATACATAAGATCAGACATGGATAGACACCACACCATACATAAGATCAGACATGAATGGACAACACACCAAACATAAGATCAGACATGGATTGACACCACACCATACATAAGATCAAGATCAGACATAGATGAACAACACTCCATACATAAGATCAGACATGGATGGAAAACACACCATACATAAGATCAGACAGAAATGTATGGACACCACACCATACTTAAAATCAGACATAGATGGACACCACCCCATGCATAAGATGAAACAAATATGTATGACATACCATACATAAGATCAGACATGGATGGACCCCACACCATGCATAAGATCAGACATGGAATGACAATACAACATACAGAAGATCAGACATGGATGGACAACACAGCATGCATAAGATCAGACAGGTATAAACAACACACCATACATAAGATCTGACATGGATGGACAATACAACATACATCAGATCAGACATGGATGGACAATACAACAGACATAAGATCAGACATGGATGGACACCACACCATACATGAGATCAGACATGGATTGACACCACACTATACATAAGATCAGACATGGATTGACACCACACCATACATAAGATCAAGATCAGACATAGATGAACAACACACCATACATAAGATCAGAGATGGATGGACAATACAACATACATAAGATCAGACATGATGGACAATACAACATACATAAGATCAGACATGTATGGACAACACACCTTGCATAAGATCAGACATGGATGGACAATATAACATACATAAGATCAGACATGGATGGACACCACACCATACATGAGATCAGACATGGATTGACACCACACCAAACGTAAGATCAGACATTGATGGACACCACACCATACATAAGATCAGAAATGGATGGACAATACAACATACATAAGAACAGACATGGATGGACAATACAACATACACAAGATCAGACATGGATGGACAATACAACAGACATAAGATCAGACATGGATGGACACCACACCATACATGAGATCAGACATGGATTGACACCACACCATACATAAGATCAAGATCAGACATAGATGAACAACACTCCATACATAAGATCAGACATGGATGGACAACACACCAAACATAAGATCAGACATGGATTGACACCACCCCAAACATAAGATCAGACATTGATGGACACCACACCATAAATAAGATCAGATATGTATAAACAACACACCATACAGAAGATCAGACATGGATTGACAATACAACATGCATAAGATCAGACATGTATAAACAACACACCATACATAAAATCAGACATGGATGGACAACACAGCATGCATAAGATCAGACAGGTATAAACAACACACCATACATAAGATCTGACATGGATGGACAATACAACATACATAAGATCAAACATGGATGGACAATACAACATACACAAGATCAGACATGGATGGACAATACAACATACATAAGATCAGACATAGATGAACAACACACCATACATAAGATCAGACATGGATGGACAATACAAC